CAAATGATCCCTGTGTTGTGACACTTGAGCAAGCTCACAGCCTGGAAGAAGAGACACGTGGCCAAAGCAGAAGCAAGCTGTGGAACTCTGAACGAGGCAAAAGGATCACAGCATCCCAGTTTGGGGACATTGTGAAGCGGAAAGCTGCGGTGAATGAAACGTTTCTACGAAACATCTTCTCTGGCACACATGATGCAACGCACCATATGAAGGCAGGGCTGAAGAATGAGGCAGCTGCCCTGCAACGCTACCAGATCAAGAAGAGGGTTCAGGTCTTCAGTGTTGGACTTTGCGTGAACCCCGGCCTTCCCATGCTGGGGGCATCGCCAGACGGCCTCGTTTGGGACGAGGACATCCAAGAGTATGGACTTGTCGAAGTCAAGACTGCGTCCCGGGCAATCGCAGCAGGTCTTCAAACCTTCGAGGAAGTGAAGCGCAGAGGGTTTGCAGACTTTATCAAAGAGGGCAAGATAGACAGCAATCATAAGCACTATCATCAAATGACTGGGCAGCTTGCTCTCACGGGACTGGAATGGTGTGATCTTGTCGTTGATTGGGAGGTAGACTGTTGGGTTACTCGGGTGTTGAACAGAACAGCGCACACAAAGACAAGGACAGAGAAAAGGAACATGCCGGACACACAGCGCTTGTGTGTCCTGCATGTTCCTTTTCTCTGTCCTTGTCTTTGTGTGCGCTGTTCTGTTCATCATGTCATCATACCAACTCGCCCAACTTACTACACTTCTACTCGGGTGTTCTTCGACGAGGAACTATGGAATGATATAATGGTTCCTCGACTTACAGATTTCTTCTTTAAGCACCGAAAAGCCTGAGCGGCGACGTGAAGTGCCAAATAAATTGGCTTTTGAAAAGTGAAAAATGTTTGCGTCAGATTTAGTTTCAAAGCTAGAGATCATGACAGCATGCAAGTAAAAATTGTAGTTGAAATTGCTGTGCGTTTTTCTTGTTAAAATGCGAAACAAGATACAGCAGTACTGTGCAACTGCTGCAAACGGATGCTTAAGTTTTACGTCGAATTAAGGTGTTCTTGATTACGTGACACGTATAATCACGCGATTAGTATTAACGTGACAACTAATCTTGCATGATCACGTCACAGTCTTGATCATACATGATTGCGGTACATGTCATCATGGAAGATGGGTACAATACAAATGGATACTTAATTTCGAACGTATGCTTCTATAAAAAAAAATGTTTCAATTTAAGCTTGAGTGCAGCGGACGCTTCAAGACGACGGGGCCAATCAAGCAACGACGAAGGCGCAACGTCACAAAGTACATAGCCGCGAGATCCATTCGGATGCAGAAAGTGCAGAGTGGCATTGCACTTTCAACGCTGCTTGATTGACCGTGTCATCTCGTACCGCCCGCTGCGCTAGGACTTACGCACGAAACACATGTACGACGAAACCGTCCGATCCGACGTGCAGACTGCCGGAATGACCCTGGGGGGCAAGGGTTTTCGTAACACCGAAGAGCGTTGAAAACCCTCGCCTCCGACCGTCGTATTGCCTGATCGGACGGTTTTGTTGTACGCGTGTTTCGTGCTTTAAAGTTAAATGAAGTACAGACTTGCTATGAAAGGGGCCATTGCAGAAATATGAATCCTGGCTTACAACAGCACAAAACATGAATATTGCTAACCATACATCCACCTTAGCAGTTGTTCAAGGTTTGAAGATATAGTTTTGTGCATTCTCGAAGCCTCAGTTACTGGTATACCTTATAGCCAGGTCATAAGCACATTCTGGAATTTTAGACCCCCCCCCCCCCCCCCAACTGCTTATGCACCTGCTCCGTAGTTACTAATTATGACACATGAAGGCAATCTATAAAGTCAAACCTGGAAAACTTTGGCAATGTCTGATTTGTACAACATCTCAAATATAAATACATCTGCAAGACCGCAACACTCTCTTATCCAGGAAGCTGCCTCAAGGTTACTAAGGCAGTTAGCCTATCAACGTACACAATCGGGGGTTCTAACTGTTGTAGCCATTGGGTACGTGAATGATAACGGTTTATTCGGGGCATTGGAGATTATACATCCGAGGACCGACACGGCACGACATCACCACTGGCTTGTGTCGTAGCAAGTGTCCCAATAAGGTTCGTGCCTTTTCCTGTTTGGCGCATCGCAGCACTGTAGTCGGCGGTCGCCTCTAGGTGCAGCCTCACGACACCCCCCTTTTTTAAGAGAAGAAAGCTACGAGTCCAACTGGGTCGGTGGTCTGCACGAACGTCTACTTCTTGTGACCGCTAGCGGCTGCACGCCACAAGATCGAAGATATTGGCTAATCGTGCACATGTCTCCCCAGGCTCAAGTGGGTGCTGTAGTATGCCAAGAGACTTGACTGCTGGTTTGCTTAGCAATGCCTCACTCAGTCCTTTGATGACGAAGACGTCTTGCGTACTTGTACCACTCCGATCAATTGTGGCTTTGAAGTACCCCACTGGCGCAATTGGCGTTTGACCTGGACCAGTGAGCGTCTGTGCTGAGGTCTTTAGGGGTCACATGGTCTCCTTGTTGTAGTTGTTGCGTGCAATTGCAGTTACGTCTGCTCCGGTGCCAACTTTGAACGTTGGAGGCGAGCTGTTGACAGTGATGGTGAGTCTCCATGGTTCCGTGATAGACCGGGTTTTGACCTCACCGAGGTAAACTTCCTCAACACCTTTGTTGCGCTCTAAGAAGTGTGTCTGTGTTTTGTGCTTGCCCTTTTGTGAGAGGCACACTGATGCGAAGTGGCCCTTTTTCCTACAGTGGTTGCACGTCTCAGGGCAATGCGCTTTCGTGTGGTCGTGTACGCTGCCGCACAGCCTGCAGTGTCCTGCTTCGGTCTTGTTCTTGTGCTGGTGAGATGCTCGAATGGGTGGTTTTCTTGCGGCGATTCTTCCCGACTTCATTGACCGCCTCGGTCGCTTGTTTGCTTTCCTGGAGCTTTTTTGTTGCTGCTTGACTACCTTGGAATTATGCGCCGTCGAGATGGCAGTTTCTAATGTCAGTTCCGAGTTCGGCTGAAGTCTTTCGCTCAGCTCGAAATCGACGAGTCCAACGATGAGTCGATCCCTTATCAATTCTTTCAGTTCCCCGTAATCGCATGTTTAGGCCATCTTATAGAGATCCGTAACAAAGGTGTTGAGTTTCATGTTCCTCTTGTTTTCGGCTGATGAACTTCACCCGCACATAGATCACGTTCATTCTTGGCATGATGTGCTTTCCAAACGCTCGTGTCACAGCATCGTGGTTATGCTCCTCGGCGTCTGTTAGTTTCAGCGAGGCCAGGATGTCCTCAGGCTTCCGGCATGAGTGTTCACTTGCGTCTTGTCTTGATTTATTAAGCCTGAAATCACTCGATTGCGTTCCCACCTTGTGAACCAGCATTTCCAGTCTTCCAGTAGTCGGAAGTTAAGTTTCTCGCAGAGCTCTACCACAAACAGGTTGAGATGTGTTGCCTGCATAGTTTGCTTGGAGCTTGTCAACTTCAAGCAGGTCAGCGTGGTTTGTTGTCATGCCTTGGCCAGCCTGGCGGTAAGGCCTAATGTTCCTCGCACTTGCGCTTGGACGTTTGGCACAGTACGTACGGCCTACCCAGAGCGGTTGCTCACTGACTTCGTGTTGTAGACAGATCCCATTGCTGCCACCATGTCGTAGCCGTTGGGTAGGTATACGTTAACGGTTTGCGTTGCAGATTATACATACGATGATCGACACAGGACGACGTCACCATGCACTGGCTTGCGTCGCAGCGAGTGCCCCGGCATGGTTCGTGCGTTTTCCTGTTGCGAACATCGTGGCGCTGTAGTCGGCGGTCGTCTCTAGAAGCAGCTTCCCGACACTAACTACGGCTCAAAAGAGGCTCCCGTGTAAAGTTGCAGAGCAACGCACAGATCTTCCAGACTGAGTCCAAGCTCCGGCTCATGCTGTTGGGGAAAGTTCCTCTCAGGATGCGAAATGACTTCATTTGTCCTATGACCCGCTCCACATGAATGCGGACCTTGGCGATGGCCCTCGTCCTAGCTTCATCCTCCAGAGAGAGCTGCGGTTTTCCTCCAAGGAAGGGTGGGATGTTCAGAGTGGCCCCAACAGCTTCTACTTCTTCGGAGATCACAAACCCCCTGTCTGCCATGACGGAGTCACCGGGCTCGAGGAGGGCACACAGTCCGGAATTCGTTGTCAGGGCTTTGTCCGACACCCGGCCAGGTGCGAGGTCGCTCACGAAGGACACAAACCCATTAGGGGTGATGCCCAGCAAGCCCTTGGCAGTGTTATGGCATTTATAGTTAGAATAAGTGTCGCTCTGCACCCTGAAGTCGTTGGGCGTCTCGTTGAATACTTCCGTGCAATCCAAGATTACCCGAGTCGATGGATACACCTTGCTAAAGCACTCCGGCATGTACTTGTTAACAACTTGTCGGGAGGGCCAGTAGCTCACTTGTGCAAGGTGGTCTGCCAGGAACCCAACCCAGAAGGTCCATACCCGACTAACTGTGGTGACGTGCACACCGAACCGGTATGCGAGGTCTTGTTCCAGAAGCCCCACCCGGAGGCGTGACAACACGAGCAGGAGCTGGTCCTCCATGGACAGATTCAGTGGCCTTCCCTGGGGAGCTGGACGCTGCTTGTAGGAGTCATAGCCCCTTTGCACGAACTTGACAAAGGCTCGGAATTTCTTAAGGGACTCAAATCCTGTGTAGAAAGCGAGTTTCTCGCTGTCCTGCTGCACATCGGTGAGAGTGAAGACCTGGGGAGGCACCGTGGCATCAATGACTTGCTCCGCTTCATCATATATGTTTTTCAGGCGAGCCACTTCTTTGAGCAGGGCTTCATTCTTTTTTTCGTAGACAGTCGTTGTCCTTGCGCAGGCTCTCATTCTCCGAGGAGAGCTTCTCGACTTGTCTCATGCGCTCACGCAGGGCCTGGTCCACTGAAGTCATGATGCTGTACTGGTGATCTGCAAAATGAGAAGGTAGATGACATCATGGTTTCACCCAGAAATGCACAAGATACTAAAAAAGAAAGCAGTTAAGTTTAGTTACTGAGTATTGGCTTTGAGTAATTTGAGTAGAGTAGCAATTACACAGCTCCAACAGTAATTGAATAAACTAACTATTTTAAAAAGTAAGGTATTACTTTGGAAGTTACTTTCTGTATATTTGTCTCGTTATATATATGGCAGGAAAAGACAAATTGACCTTCTAACCCAGGAACGAAATACCCTTAGTCTGATAGAAAGACAGTCACTTCATGGCTCATGCTTTCACCGAAACTCTTTATTAGCCCAAAGAAGCAATTGGCTCTCGAGTTTTTCGTCCAAGAACTTCCCCTTTTTCCTTCAAAACAGACATCCAACTGAGGCACTTGCTCGGATAGGCCCCTTGTATTTAACGAACTGGCTGTGCTGGCCCGGGTACTTCGGAGTGTCTTGCACATCGCTACAAACTACGATAATATAGTAATAGTAAAGGTAATTTACGGGTTTAAAGCACGAAAGTAGGTAACCTGTGTGGAGTAGAGGTTCCGTTTCAGCCTCCCGAGTGCATAGTGAAGGTTTCGAACCCTGAGTGGTCTCTTCCCCAAACACTCTTCGGGGCATCAATGCTCATAGCCTCACTTGCTTTGAGACGTAAAATCCTAATATTCCCTTTTGAAGCAGGAAAATAAAGAAGGTTGGTTTCTTTCTTTCTGTCGTCTGCTACAGGCTGCTCTCGCTTGCTGATGTCGCAATCGCTTGGGGAGGGAGCAACGGCTGCCTTTGTCGTCTGCTCTGAACCACTAGATTTTGAAAGTAATTTGAATTTGAGTAGAAGTTACCTGGGAAAAGTATTTACAGTGAACTAGTAATGACCGAAAATAAAAAAAAGTAATTTAAAGGTAATAAATGACTCAGGAAAGTAGTGAAACTACAGTAACTTCAGTACAGTAATTGTATTATATACGTCACGTTTGATCCAAAGAGTAAAATCATAAACTACTATAAACGTTCCTGTGTATGATTTTATAATAAAGAAATGATGAAACATCACTGGGTTTGAATGTTACCCACTTAGTATGACAGAAATATACTCGCATGCTGTGCCATCGAGCCAGAAACTTTTTTGACAGTGTTTTTTAAAAAAACAGAAGTGGGCCATTTCATAGTCATGGGAACGACAATGTTGACAGAGAGATGGGGAGGACCTCAGGTTGACGATAGATGAGTGCAGCTTATGTAATGTGACCAGACGTCCCGATTTAGGCAGGTGAGGTTTCGCTTTTCCGGTCTAGGCCCCGCTGCCCTACCAGTTTTGCTGAACCCCAAATATGAAAGATATGGGGAAAGTTAGGCGGTTCACGGAACAGCACCACCTGGTCAGCGAGCCGACTGGATATAGAGCATGGCACATTGACAACGAGCAATGTACTTATCGCTGGTAATCAATGTCAAGCTGATCGACACCTTAGGCCACGAGAAGGCACGCAGTCTTGCCCAACCACGTGTGTGCGTGGTTCGGCAAGCATTGTCAAAGCTTGGGTACCTCAGGCCACTCACGCCACGACCTAAAGATTGTATGCCTACTAAAAGCACAGGGTGTCGTCTATCAAATACCTGTGCTGATTGCCTCGCTACATACATTGGCAAAAAAAAAAAAAGAAAAAAAAAAAACTCCAGAAAAAGGCTTTGTTAGCAAAAGAACGATCTGCGCAAGTTCGATCGTGAGCGTAGTGCTCTTGCGGAACGGGAATGAACACTGCACTAGCCCTTGACAACACACTGTTGCCTTGCGCTCTTTTGCTTGTCCCGCTTTGGAATTGCCGGGGCAATGCCAACTTTAGAGAAGCAAAATTCAAAGTCAAATTTGGGTGTTTTACGTGCCAAAGCAACGACGGGCATCTGGCAGGCCCCAGCGGAGGACTGAGGATTAATTTCGACCACCTGGGGATCTTTTGGTGTGCAACGGAAAGCTCGGTTACACAGCGCCTCGTCCGCAATAAGCCTCCGTCAGATCGCGGGCACCTCGGACGGGATAACTCTAAAGAAGCAACGCTAAACGTTGCTTGCTGGTATACAGTTGCCACCCTACCATGCAGCCGCTTGTTCTGGCTATGAATTATAGGGGTAAATGCTGCTCACATTTTTCTGCGATTGTTTTGTGCATGAAACAAAAACTAACACAGACTTCACAGGCTATAGATGTCCATTATTTACTTTGAGGAGCATTTAGTGAAAGCAACAGAATTGTTTCATGGCCCTTTTAATGCACCTGCCACCTGCCTGCCATTTGTAAACTGCACACCACTATGTTTACGTGTTCCATGTAGCTACCAGGAGCATTGCACAGCTCAGAGGGGAACAAAATGCAACAAACCACCAACACTGGAGCTCTGAAATCGCTGGTGATTGTTGTTTAGGTATTACTTCAGTCGGATTAGAAGCTTACCATTAGCCACTGCATCATCAGCTCCAGGGGCACCATCAGAGGCCAAGGGGCAGTCAGGCTATACTGGCCTCTGGGCAGCAGGCAAGGTTACTGTCTGTCCCAGGTCAAGATCCGACAGACAGTGTGCCTGCAGCCGTGGCAGCAATGGCTGTGACGTGCAGTGTTTCCCTGTAGAAGACGCCTTTGGACACCCAGGAACATCTGCATGTAAAGATGAGGCAGGTGTTAAATGTGGCTAGTTAAAAAATGTTATACAATCTATACAGCACATGACAAGTCAAATAACCCGGACAAGCATAGCAAATTCAAATAGCTTGGTAGCAGTCACTATTTCAATTTTTAGTTAGCTCTTCCAGAATGTTCCAGTTGATTAAGTCTTCACGCAGTGTTTTCTTGCATGGCATGCACTTGGCAGCCCATAATGCTATCACATTTACAATTACTGCAGTGATGACAGTGCACACATGCATTAGGCATGGCTCCTGCACCTGGCCAAGTGTCTGCCAACTTAACCCAGCAGTCTGTTCGCAAGGCGGTTAGTCTGGCTCAGAATATCCTAGCAGACGTAACGCTATATGACCTCTCATTCAGTTCACATATTCCATGCTGGCCTGGCATTGGCTCTCAGAGTGTACACGGATGTGACTAGCATGCAAGATATTTAGATCTCACTCTCTTCTAAGTAAACCAAAGTGGCTGCTTTTGCAGAGAACAAGACACGCATCCTGGCCGACACTGCTGTGCAATCTTTTATGGTTGTCTGTGAGCGATTAGGTAAACAGAGACAAAGAACTCTTGTGAAAAGGAAATAGACGAAATACATACACTTCGGAAGTGTCCTGGTTGGGAAAAAGCGGGGTGCTTTTTCCTCATACTTTTTTCGCCCAGCTTCGTTGAAGTGGATGCCGCATATCCTGCTAGTGGAAGTTGGTTCCCACAGTGAGTAGCGTTCAGTGGTGCCTGCAGAGAAGAGAAGCAGTTAGCAACGTGTTAAGCCTCCCAAGTAAGCTTTAACCACAACAGTGCTAATATGTTTTTTGAACCAATCAAGATGATGCTAGATGCGAGCATTGAGCACGAGCCATGTACCGCAAGATAGTATTCTGAATTCTATTGATGCCACGTGCACTGGCTTACCTTCCTGTCAATCGTAAGCATTTCACAGTGTAAATGAATGAGAGTATGAAAAGTAAGGGAGGCAATTACTGGTTGAGTAAGTGTGACGAACCTTGAAGATGGATGACTACAGCCATCACAGAAGAACTTAGGAATTTTACCCCGAGCAAAACTCTAGCTCATCGTTGCAGCTTCTTAAGTTCTACATCACCAGTACCCCAAGAAAAATCTAGCAATGCTGCTCACACTGTGCAGTGAGTCAACCTTTGATGCCGTACGGGCCTTGCTGGCCTTCAAAATTTGTGTTTGGAAAAGTGTGAGGCACCTCAATGAAAATTTCAACCAGACGCCACCAGAACTGTTTAGTAATGTTTGTTTTCACCAGCGACATCAAGTACCACCAGAGAGCATCACTGAGTATGTTGCCATTCTCCACAACATAGCTGCTACCTGAAACTTCGAAACCGGTATACAACATTCAGGCTAGAGCTGCATCTACAGCTACTCAAACCATTCGGTTATAACAGCACCAGCACCTAACTGGTCACCAGCTGCTCGAACTGGGGAGACCACTCACACCAATTTTGTTGGACCATTCGAAGGCTTCTCTTATCTAATAAGTGTGAAGGCCAATGAGCTCCACGACATCCACGTGCATCACTAACTATCTACGCCCCCCTTTTGCAACTTTAGCCATTGCAAGGATGCCACAAATTGCCTCCTCGTTTAGCTGCGACAGCTCGTCAAGACTACCCAACTTGAGCTATCTGTGGAGAGTGCCCCGACGGATCACCCCTTGAGAAGCGTGGGAAGCGAGTTGAGTAGTCCTTCCCAGAACCAGGTTGGAGGAGTCTTCGTGGAGCGGAGGCGGAAAGGGTGGAAGGGAGGCCTTTGCGACTCCCCTCATATACATCGAGACGGTGCTGGCGCTGGGGCCAATAGGACTGTTTGATATCCCCGATTGGAGAGGCCCAGTGTCAGTGTACTGATTTCGAGGTCCTGGCGAGCCAGGACATGAAATGAAACAGGTCTGCGGAGAACTATGTTTGTCTCCCGCGGTCCGAGTGCCGCGTAAGTTTGTCTTGCGGGACAGAGAACTTGCTGTGCGCAGCAACGGATTTGGCGCCAAAGCGCAACTGTTGGCGTTAGGCAGCTGCGAGTTGCAGCAGCAGCAAGACAGCCACTGTATTTATATTCGCTCGTCAGTGTAAATGTATTCATCAAAACTTCCATCATGTCTGCTCCGGTTCCTAACTGCCGAGAATGGCAGACCACCATAGCACAGCACATTGTTCTACTGTCACCCGGTCCTGATCGAAACCTGAGGGAGACGGAGACCCGGAAAACAACCATCCTCCCAGAAAGGCCGAAACATTACTGCCACGTTGAAAATTATTTATCCTGACATGCACCAAAACTTGCTTTGAACGGAATGGACAAGTTGGAACGGCATTCTTCTAATGAAATCAAGT